GATCAAATTTTTTCGTCATACTCGTAAAAATCGCGTCGTAAACAAACGGGCTGCCAAACACACATTAATTGCCATATGGAAATCAAATTTCACACGAACATAACAAAAGATTGTACTAATCTAGTAAAAGTTTTTTTGTCGGTTCAGTTAGCTGAATTCAAATTCAAAATTCCCATGTCCCTTTTATGGTTTTTTTAAATGATTTATTATGATTATAGATTTTTCGATATTATACTCATTACCAGAGTTGGATGGACGACTCATATGAGGAAAGTTTTCGATATGCCACTCAAATACTTGTGTTCGTGATAAAGTAGACTCCCCAAACCACTTCCAACGATTCCGTAGTCATGATTCCAATCGAAACACAAAATTTCAAAAATGCTCGCAGATCAAATTTTTTCGTCATACTCGTAAAAATCGCGTCGTAAACAAACGGGCTGCCAAACACACATTAATTGCCATATGGAAATCAAATTTCACACGAACATAACAAAAGATTGTACTAATCTAGTAAAAGTTTTTTTGTCGGTTCAGTTAGCTGAATTCAAATTCAAAATTCCCATGTCCCTTTTATGGTTTTTTTAAAACCTTAAATAAGAAAAATATTTAAGTAAACTTTTTGAAGCAACTCAATTGTCTACTTTAAAATGAGCTCCAACTTTTTCTAAAACAATATTTAAAATTTCATAGTTAAAATTTCCTGCAGGGTATTCAAACACAACATCTTTACTGCACTACAGTGTCTGCCGACACCAGCCTTGCCACCTAACAACCACTTCTGTTGCTGCCGCCCCAGTCAAACAGCCAATTATCTAACTTTGTTGCACAAAGTCGAAGTCGAAGTGCAACACGTGCGCACGTATCGACACATGCATACAATAGCATTTAAATGAAGAAAACGGAATGAAATAAAGCCATAGAAAAATTTATAATTGTAGATATGTATGTGTAAAGAAAAAAAAATTATATACAAAATAAAAAATATATACATTTAATTGTATAAAAATATGAATTGCACAACATGCCAGTTGCTTGCATAGCCGCCTTTTTTTCTGCGAGTAGCACGCACCGATGTTTATTATGCACGGCTTGGCTATAAGCAGTTTTTGTTATAAAAAAAATGCAGAGGCTTCTTTATTTATATGTATATAGAAAAGTATTTATAAATATGCAAATAGCATGTACTCAGCGATCAAAAGAATATTAAAATGTATACTTGCATTCGCACAATATCCTTTATGTAATTATGCAAAGGCAAATTTCCTTTTGAAAGAAAATTCCAAAACAACTTGTATTTGCAACAATACTCTATTATTCGATACATACATATATATATATATATATATATACTTATATATAATATATTCTAATTTTTTTTTTTCACATTCAGTGAGTTTTTGTTAAAGCTGCCTTTATATTACAAAGTGATGTCTACAGAGCGGGTAATATTTATGAGTGTTGCGCTTTAACAGCATAGTATTTAAGGTGTTGGTCTAAACAGTGTAAGGCAGAGTGAGCAACAATACACGTGATACAAATGCTACTTTTACAATAACAATTTTTTTTTTTATAAAAATATTAATTTATTCCCTTTGAATACTTTTTGTTTTAACCATTGTGAATAGTCCCAATAATTTGGAACCTTTACGTTAAAGTGACGTCACCTCAAACCAACATATTTACCATACAGACGACTACTCTGTGGACTCTTTTTAATTGAATAAAACAAGTTCGAGGCAGGTACTTAAGTTTCTTAGCAAATTTTAACGCACCCAATAACGAGGTTGTAACCTTATTGAGACCAAAAAAAAAGATAAAGTATTGGCGCCCGAGACAGATGAAGCTTAAAGTCTCCTACCATTTTGGACATACTATTTGGAAAACCACTTATGATATCTGAATCGCTCAAGACAGAAATATTGTTTGCTGATAAATTCACGGGCATAAACCTCTTTTCGAAACCAAAAATGTATTTTAATTTACACAAATGCAACCCTGCAAGAAACCGATAATACCAGTTAGAGATAAATTAATGCTTCATTATAAAACCAAAATAATTTAGAGGCACACATACATAAGTTTACATAAATATCTCATTTACTTTTGCCCTCTTTTAGGCCGAGCTTCAGATCTTACTAGGCCTCGGTTTGTTGTTGTTGCAAATATGTAAATTTTTCCCAAACTTATGAGTATTATAAAGAATGTTTTGAAATCAGTAATTCTCACACAAATTAGCGGTTTCATATTTTCTATCGAGGAAAAATCGCTGTTGGAAAATTTTCTACTGTACTTGTGTTTAGCAGTGTTTCGAACCCACGATTCTTCACATATAAGTCATGAACTCAACTCTGTCGAATACGTTCACTAAATTCACACTTCATATCAATAACAATTGCCTTTAATAAAAATATGAGCAATTTAATGGAACACAATTTGTTTCAGTTATGACCCATTAATAATATTATGCCAATTTTTACGGTATAAAACCAGTAAAGCGAGAATTCCTTGCCATTTCTCGAATTCATGCTTTGAAGAAAATGTTCGTCACTCGTCATCTGCTCACCAACATTTGCGCACTAATTTTCGCACTTTATATAATTATTTGTGAGTGTGGACAAGAGGAGGCTTGGAATTGTTTAGAGGAGCGATGTTGTTCCATTGACTTTAGCAAAATGGTGGTAACGGTTGATTTCTTATGTAAGTACGATGCAATTACTACCGAAACTAACCGTAAAAAACAAAACACTTTTCAATTATTGTTATTTTGTGAACTCAGTGTATGCGTGTGGTGAAAAGGTGGATAATGAGTGGACGTATAGTTTATTTTTGGACACCGGCGAAGAGATGGACTACATTGCCTATCATCCATATCAGCAGTTGGACGAGACACAATACTGTGGTGAAATTTGTGAGAAAATCTTGGTTTGCATAAAATCGAATACTTTCAAAGTATCCGAGGCTCTAGGCGGCTCCGCTGAGTGGTGTTTCCAAGGAAATGTTGATGTGCATAATGACACTATATATAATGATGAAAATATTTGTTTGACTTTCCACGAAGATGTGGTTGATATACCAAGTAACGTAGTTACTTTTCTTTCAAGCTCAAATATTTGGTAAAATGTGGCATATTTTAAACGTTGCATAGAGTATATGATTTGTAAAAGTCTTTGTATAAGAAATTTTTTTCGTAATAAGGATATAATTTTAGAAAAGAAAATTTTAAAATTAAACGAAACAGTACTACTCCTATACATTAAAACGGTTGTCTTTATAAAGGAATCACAAATCTTACATCTCGCTTTAAATTTTTTTTATTAAATAAATCTTCCTCTCCTTCCCAATGCCTTCTCTCTCTTTTTCGCCATCGTCTACTCTCTTTTTCTTTGGCTCATTCTCTTCGTCTATTTCATCTTTTCTTTCTCACTACAGTCACTACATCAGCAAAGCTATCAGATATGTGCTTTTGAAGTTAAAAAATCTATCATAGAGATTTAAAATCCACTTAAAATATCCTACCCTTATTAAAGCAAGTAATGCTTACCATTTTTCAACGAAAATCACTTGAAGTTTACGTGAAATTTTCAATATATCAAAGGAATCTGATAGCTTAGTTAAATTACTTCATTTCGCTGCTGAAATTCTGAACCATGGTTCAATAAAAACCTTAATAAATAAATAATTTAATAATACTGTACAGGGTGATATAGTACTGGGCGAGTAAAATTTGAACAATATAAACTCTTGATCACAAACACGATGAAACAGTATATGAATATACTAAGTGACTTAATGTATCCAGTTTCTCATAATTGTCTGAAAAGTGAGGTTAAGTTGCTAACAAAATTTGACATTTTTGACACTCTCAGAATATGTGCATACCTCACTAAATGCCGTTATTATTAAGACATAAAATCATATAACACAACCTCAACTAAAAATATATAGATAATTTTCTAATAATCAATAATTTTTATATTAAAGGTAATTAAATTTTCCGGAACAAAGTTGCGACTAATTTGAATTGTCATGCTTTTGAGAGAACATTTTTTATAGGAATTTTACACTGCGAATTATTGTTTTATATTACCTTTCCACTTAGGCATACTAGAAATGTTATTATGCCGCTCCAAACACTTCCGCTTTTTCATATTAAATGCGTTGGTCCTTGCACTGACCTTAATTATACTAATCGAGTCCAAAAAGGAACATGCATGGCACTGCATGGCTGAGAAATGCTGCTCTATCGATTTTAGTAAAATGATGAAATCTATCGACTATGTGCGTAAGTTAAAATGACATATTTCTACTGAACACTACTTTAATTAACTCTTCTTCTTACCAAGTTTATGTCTGTGGGATAAAGAAGGGCAAGGACTTACATTACAAGCTTTACTTTGACAGTGGTAGCAAAATGGATCTCATCGCCTATGAGCCTATAAAGCAGCTTGATGAGACGGAATATTGTGCTGCTGTATGTGCTGTTGCTGATATTTGCTTTAAGAGCACAACATTCAAAGTAACTCCTGATAATAACGGTACGGCTGAATGGTGTTTCGATGGCAGTGTTATAGTGGAGAATGAAACCGTTTTTTATGAAGAAAATGTGTGCATAAAATTTTATAATTCAACAGTGGAATTTCCGCCATATTTAGAAGATTATATGAAGGCACATAAACTTTGGTAGAATGCGACAATGTAATGAATAAAGTTTTAGAAATATTAATCTTTGAGGAAAATCCACAATTTTTTGGCGAAATGAAGAGGTTATAATCAAACAGGGTTGTATGATACTTAAGAATGCTTCGATCATTTTCAAACTCTGATTTGTGAATTTCTCAAGGTGGTTGTAATGTTTCGAGGTTTAATGTTTAGCTCTCTTTCTGAAATCAGAGTTTGAAGCGAAACTTTTTTTTATTTCGACTGGTATGTTTCAAAGTTTCCCCCACTGTAAAAGTGTGATAAATATGTTTACTTTTCTTCCGTTATTCTATCCTAAAAGCAAAGCTGCTGTTCTTAAAAGTTCCACGAGAGATTACAGCATCACTTTACTGTAGACGTTGGTAGTAAATTGAAATTATTAAATATGAAAGTAAAATTGGGTAATTTTTAAAAAAAATTTATAGATGAAAATTTGTATGAAGAAAGTTGCCACGTGTATGCGATTTTTATATTTTTAAATATAAACAATCACAATAAATGGTTTCTAAGCTAAAGGGGTTTCAGAAAACTTAAAGCTAAAAAAAATTTCAAAGGTGGTTGCCACCTATTGTAAAATAGGTACACAATTTTATAAACTTAAAAAAATAAATATTAATAATGAGTTAAATAGTTTTATAATTGCATATTTTAAAATGAAAGTTGCCACCTGTTTGCCATTTTTAAGTCCAAAAATGTATATAACTAAAAACATTACAATATGAGTACTAAACTAAAAGGATATCAGAAGGCTTAGAGTTGTATATATTTAAAACTAAAGTAAAATACTTAGTAAGCTAAAAATATAAAATATGAATATCGTAATAAATAACGTACTTTTAAATAGTTTATAGTTGAAAATTTTATGAAAAAAGTTGCAAGCTTTTTATTTTTTTTAGTCGATAAATGCATATGTAAAAAAATATTTGAATATGGGTACTATACATAAAAGTTTTAGATGGTTTGAAGTTGAAAATATTTTCGAGTCAACTTGCCACATGTTTTAAAATTTTAAGTAAAAACTCGATTAACTAAAAACATTAAATATTGCATGGATATTAAACTAAGTAATTTTAAGGAAATTTTTAAGTGACAATATATTAAAGAAGGCTGTCACTTAATTGCAAAATTTAAAACAAATAAGGTGTAAATAAAAATTTTAAATAAGAATATTAAACTAAATAATTAGTAGAAGATTTACGGTTGACAATATACTTGAAGAAGGTTGCCACCTAAGTAAAATCTTAACTGTTTAAGAAGGTTTATAGTTGAAAATATTATGTAGAAAGTTGCCAACTATTTGCATTTTTTAAGTCCAAAAGTGTATAAGACAAAAAATATTGGAATAATAGCACCAAGAAAATAGGTTAAAACGGTGTACTTTTGAAAATATTTTGAACAGGGTTGCCATTTATTAAAAAATTAAATTGATTCAGAAGTTCAGCGTGTCTGAGTAAACAAAAAAAGAAAATTTCGTTCGATATACTTTAAATCATTATAAATCAATCAATAACCTAAAGTGTGAAAGCAAGTTTTCACATTCTTAAACTTTCACAAAAATTTCTATCATCTCAATTTCTCTAAAAAAAAAAATACAAACATAACAAAACCATTTGATTCACCTAACAAACTCGTGAAGGTCATCGAAGTGTCGCGTCAATCATTTAGTGCTACGCGCAAACTTTCTTCGGCACACACACCGGCACGAACCCATCAAAGAACACTGCATTGCCTAAGCCACTGATCGTAAAATTGACGAAAACTTTTGATTAAGCACACAAACACCAGTTTTTATTACATTTTTATAGCAGCGTTGAACTCGTCAAATAAAAAACGAACAGCCAATATGCGCCTAAAAGTTCACTACAAATTAGGAAATCGGTAAAATGGCATTTCGCCAAGTACATGCTCAGCAAATAAACACATTTTTATGAGCCACAAACATTTCAACAAACTGCGCTTAGGTATACAACAACAAAAATAAAAAGTATATAGCATAGATTACTTTATATAAAATATGAGGTGTAAAAGACATAAATAAAAGCATTGGCATGTTGTGCGTGGCCGCTAAACACAGCGCTGCCACAACTTTGTTATTCATCTTTGCCTTCTTTATTTCATTGACTGTGAGGCAAGTGTGTGGCATGTATGCACGCACATACAAGTATACAAAACAATCTATAAACAGTTTGGCAAAGTTACTCATCGATGGCTGGAGTACGAAAAAATTTTATAATAGGTGAATAGATATCGCGTACAAGCAAGCGTGTTTACTTTCACGTTACTCATACGACCCGTCATATCTGACAATAGAAAAAGTGTGGCTTTTATGTAAAGACGTATATTCACACACTCGCAAGTATACTTTATCAGCGTTTTTTTTGGTATACATTTAGGCTTAATTCAAAGCTATCAATTTTCGCTCAAGTGACATCATTTAGACGCGAAAATGTTTGATTTTTTCATAACAAAATTTAGGGTATTGAATTTGTTTTTCATATTTATGGAAAAAATTATTTTGGTGATTTAGTGTAAGGAAGCTAATTTATGTAAAATACATATGAAGGGTATTTTTATTTATATTAAAACAGAGATTATGATCTCGAAGTCATTATTATGCACTACTATCTCTATTAAAGCGGTTATCTTCAGTTTGACTTTTAGATTTTTTTATGTTTCCAACCATTACTAAACATAATTTTCTTTCACAGAAAGTTATATTCTTGTAAAGACCTATCCTCCATAAGCTTAGAAAGACAAGTAGTACTTTCACTTTGACTAAACAGCACATTTTCAACTTCTACCCTTTCTGCAACTTGCAGTTATTTTTTAATTAAGAGGCACACTTTATTTGAAATTTGGAAAAAATCGATTTTTTTACCATTAAAATAATATACTAATATTCTAAATCGTTTTCTTAAAAAACATTTGAGTTACAGCTTACTAAAGTGTAGCCAGCTTAATCAGTTTGATTTATTACCAGGAGACAAATCATCAGATCAGGACGCTTTAAATTGAAAATATTTCAAAAAGAAGTTGCCACCTGTTTTAAAATTTTAATTAAAGAAACTGAACAGTTGAAAATATGACATATGTATATCCAGCTAAATAGTTTTCGAAAGGTTTACGATTGAAGCTTTTGTGATTAAGGTTGCCACCTATTTTAAATTTTTAAGTTAAAAAAATTCATAAGATGAAACAGTTTTATTATAGAGTATTGGTACTAAACTAAAATGGTTTCAGAAGACTTTAGGTTGAAAATATTTCTGAAAGAAGTTGCCACTTATTTTTTTAATTTTAAATAACAAACGTGAAATTATAATAAAAATATAAATACAAATAAGAAAATATAAATATATTCTATATGAAAATAAAACTTGAAAGTTTTATGATAGCTCATAGTAAAAAAAGAGACCTGCCACTTGAGACAATAAGGAATAAAAATGTTAATTCAGGAGCTGCAAATGTAAAACTCTATTAAAGTGTAGCCTTTTTCCCAATTTTAAATTTATTTTCGACCGAAGTTCACGATAAATACCGAAAATAGCTTTTAATAAAGAATTTTTTCTTTTTGGTTCAATTTTTTTATTTTTTAGTTTTTTTTCCAAATTCCCAAAAATCGCAATTTTTTGAACTGTTGTACTTGGTAAGCTCCTTAATACTTATGACAGATAATTGAGTGAGTGTGTGTTAACTTGAATAATTTAATTTAAGTTGAAGTAACTATAAAACTAATTTTTTCAATAAAAATAATTTTTACCAATAAATATAAGTATTATAGATTTGGTTGCGTATACGCCAAGCAGTCTCAAAGAGAATATCCACGTTGCTGACTGATCATAATAATTTGCAGGGATATTTGATTTTTGGCTTCCCTACTTTTATCGTACTACTTTTTTATACTTTCCTGCTAAAAGGTATCATCCTTTCTGGAGCTGTGTTATCTCCTTATTAAATCATCTGCTTGGCTGTGTGGTGGTTGGTCACAAAATATTGGAAAAAATAAAAAACTTCTAGAGAAGAAACTATTGAACTATCCAAAAAATAATATACCTAATAATGCATACAAGAAACATTCCTCTTCAGAATAGGTAAAAACTAAATAAAAATTATTTTCAATACAAAACCGCTTAAAAAGTATAAAACAGCTCAATTAAACTTACAGGCAAATCTCTTTAAAACTTTTCTTACTTCTCACAAACTCTACTCACTCGCTCTCTCTCCATTTATATATTCTTTACAGAAAAGTAGATATTTGCAGAAAGCATGAAAGGTACACAAAATATGTAATAAAAATGTAAAATCAAAGATTTAACATTCACTTCCCAAATATATGTGGAACACACAAAGACTACTTTATGCTCTAATATCTTTGCAACACACTTTTTGTTTTTGGTTTTTTCTATTCTTGTTCTTCGTAGCACCCACTTAAGCGAAAGTTTTAAGTTCTGTGCCTGAAATTGATTTTTGTCGTCGACACGTGAACCTTAAAGCACCAAAAAACAAACAGAGCAGGCACACGCATTACAAAACTTATCACAGCAATAAAAACAACAAAAGTTTGAAGGAAAAAATATGGAAAATTAGAATACGCGAAATTCAAACGAGCGAAAACTTTGCAAATGGCAACCTTGTAACTTGCAACATGTCAACGTGCCACACGGATACGCCGACAACAGTCAAGAAGTCAAAAATGCGCGCTAAGGACATTGACGAGTAAACGAGCAAAATGCGCAAAAAAATAGAACAGAGAAAATGCAATGCAAAAATAAATATTAGAAAAAAAAAACAATGTAAACAAAAAACAATTTAAGCGCGCTGACGAAAAGATGCGCAGCAAATCTCTTGCAACATGCTAGCAGCACGCAAAGCGCACGAAATTAAGGCACGTCGCACGCTGCATGCAGCGCTGGTAGCAGCGTTGCCAGGAATGGCAAGTAGCGCGCCAATTTATCGAGGAGAAAATCGAGTTGCCGCAGCAAACAGCGGAAAGAGGCATGAACATAGCAAAGGGGTGCGATGGAAGTAAAAGAAGAAACTAAAAAAAAATTTTAGTTTTGATAAAAACTAAAAACAAAAAACACAGAAACTAGTTTCAAAAGGTTGCGCGTACAATGAAAATTACGTAGACAACAATGACTTTAAAGTAAATTTG